CTCCATTTTAATGAAAATTTGGGAGAAAATGAGTTTTGGAATAGTGATTTTTTTGAAGAGTGTGTAGTTAAAAAATAAGAAAAATATTTTGATTTACATGTAATATTATTTTATGGGGAAATGTGTGGTTGAAAATGAGTTTTGAAAAAATGGGGGCCAAACATAGGCAAAATATTTTGCACGTACACTGAAAATTTTTTCCTACATTTTTAATCACTCGTTCTCCAAAAAAATCATTATTTCAAAATTCATTTTTCCCTTATTTTTTAATTTTAATTTGATCAAATTTCTCGTTTGAGATTAATGAGTTCTGATATGATATTAAGAGTTGGAATTCCATCTTAAAATGTCGATCTTATTAAGAAAATAATTTAAATCTTTATATGTTGATCTATATTTTAATAATTAATCGACATGAAATTTATTCCTTAACAATATATGTGTGTATCACACGCTCGTCCAAAAAAAAAAAAAAAATCATTTGCTTTTCGTGTGTGCCTGCAATGTGGAAAGTATGTTGGAGCAAAGGAGAGGAGCAAGAGAAGCTCAAGGAAGAATGTACTCAAATCCCGAAAATTCTTGAGAGTACACTTTCGGGCAAGAAGTTCTCTGGGCCGGGTGAGACTATTGGAATGGTTGATGTCACTCGCAATTTCGTGGCATATTGGTTTGGAATTCTCCAAGAATTGGCAGGACTGCAAGTATTCACAAAAGAGAAATTTCCCAATGTAGGTGAATGGATTGATGAATTCCATAATTGCAGTATTACAAAGGAAAATCGACCTCCCAAAGATAAGTTAGCTGCGCATTTTCAAGCTCGTTTTCGAGCTGTTGCTGCTTCCAAATGAAACTAAGCAGCTGATTACTCATGTTTTGCTACTGAATAAGGAATTCAGTAAATCTGTAATAATTGAGAGTATGATTGTTAAATGTTCTGTCGATAGTTTATGTTTGAATGTAAAAAGAATTAGCATCTCGTGTGATGGATAGCTGTGCATATAAATGTTTTTATGATTACGTGTTCGATATCGTTACTGAATTTAACTCAAAGTATCAATACTAACCCACATGCTACAATATTATATATTCGATTGAGTAAATGTTAAGAAAACGGGACTTTTGAAATACTCAACTTAGTACTCATCAGAGACGATCCCAGCACCCGGCCAGGAGGCAGCTACGCGTGCTCGGCTCCGTCGGAGCGCCTCCTGTACGGACCGTACGGTGGTTGCTCTGGTCGTCTTCTCCAGCGCCAGGTAGGTTTTTTTTTTTTTTTTCTCAAAGTGGGCTAAGGAGTAAGGCCTGCTGATTTCCTTTTTTAAAAAAAAAAATTTGTTTTCACATTGGGCCGAAGAATCCAGCCCATAAATTTGTTTGTTTTGAAATTGGGCCAAGTCGGCCTATTTATCTTATTATTTTTTAAATTGGGTTTGATTGGGCCATTTTTCTTGGCCCAATCCTTAATATATACATAACATGAGTAAGCCCATCCAAATAATACAAAATCAAAAGGAATTTTGAAATCAATCGACAATCCCTAATTGCCTAATTCCCAAATTCCCCAATCTCTTAGCTCTCCCTCTTCGACCGACTACTCACCAGTCAGCCGATTCAGAGCCCAATGTAACCATGACACCGTCGTAACTCGCAAAGCGGCAAACTCTCCGGTGCCCAGCAGTACTCAGGCAGTGACTCCGAGGGCCGAAACCGTAAGTTCTACTGTTGTCTTGACTCTTGTAGGCTGTCAATTTTTTTTTATGAACTATTTTGTCCCGTGGCTAGTGGGCTGTGTCTCTGTGATAGTATATACTGATTTACTGATTTTTTTTATGGTTTATCATGAATT